CAGGCACCAGCAGCGCCCTGACAGCCCCACGCTGTTCCCCCTGACAGCCCCACGCTGTCCCCCCTGACAGCCCCACGCTGTCCCCAGGGCAGGGAAGGACACACGGGAGAGGAGGAACCAAGGATGGCTGGACAAGACGGGGCTCCAGGGGCAGGTCTGGAGGCTCCTGGGCATCTCCTCCATCATCTTCACCTCCCTCCTCCTGGGGCTGGGCTGCACGTGGGGCAGTGGGATGGGGACAATTTGGGGCTGGAGGAGCTGGGGGGGTGCAGGACAACACAACCTCGAGTGTCTCAGCACCAAAGTGCTGGTGATGACCAGCTTGGGCCCACCTACCTGAGCCAATGCGAGCCCGGGACATGGTGGGAGAATCCAGCTTGTGAGCAGGAACTGTCAGGTAGTTGTTCATCTGGAATGGGAGCACAGGGATCGTCTCTTGTTGGGAGTGGCTTGGGAGAAACGGGGAAGGGGAGGCAGGGAATTGACCCCAGGCTGTGGGGATGAGTGGGAAGCAGCAGTGGGATGCAGGGAACACGTGTCCACCCTCCCAGCTCTGCTGCAAGGACTCCCACCCTGTCCCCGGGGCAGGGACTCTCCAGGTCCCCCACTGAACCTCAGCCCTCTCCCCACACAGGACACTGATGTCCTTCCCAGGTTGGGAACCCCTCCTTGACCCCCCTCCCAGTCCTCCCCAGCCCAGGGCAGCATCCCTGCTCCAGCATCCCCTTGACACCTTCTGCTCCAGCTGCCGGGCCTTCTGCCTCCGCAGCAGCATCTGGTTCCAGGCTTCCTCGTAGGGGTCGGCCACAAGGGTGTGCCTGTTGTAGGATCTCAACTGCAAGAAGGTCCCAAGAAAAGGAGACGAGTTAAAACCAAACCAAAACCACACCAAAAGGCAAAGGAAAGTCAGGGCACCCTTTCCCTAGGAGATGGATGGGAACAGCCACCAGTGGGCAAAGCACACCCAGGCAAGGTGGTGGCTCATCCCTTGTGTGCTACCATGGGATGTCTGATGTGGACCCAGCAAGGGTTTAAACTCTGGGTTAAGCCACCAGCCAAGCCAGCCTCCCACTCAGCACCATCCCAGCAGGAAAAGCTTCCTGGGGAGGGAAAGCCAGACCAGGAACATGAGAAACAGCCTGACCGGGAACACGAGGAGCAGCTGGGGGTGAAGGGCCCAGCTGGCCCTGCGGGCTTCTGGTTAGAAGTGGTCCTGGCCACCCCCAGGGCAGGTGGGGTGGTGGGACAACCTCACCCTCTGCCTGGTTTTCTGCAGGTTGTTGCGGAGGATCTTCCGGATCTCCTCCTCCTTGTCTTTGGACAGGGCTGGCAGGATGCGCTCCACGGGGAGGCTCTTGGGGTTGATGTTCCTGCGTGGACAGGCAGGGTTCAGGGGGACACCAGGAGGGCCGGGGCAGGACCAAAGGCCTGCTTGCCATGTGGCTACCAGCAGGGAGCACCCAACCTGGGGCTCCTCGGTGGCCACGGCCAGGGAACTCACTGGATGGAGACGGTGGAGACGGCGGAGGGGATCTTGCCGATGCCCCCGCTCTCCACCAGCTCGATGGCCTGTTTCATCTCCATCTTGTGGTAGAAGGCGATGAGCTGGGGCTCCTTGGAGCGCTCCCCGGCGATCAGGCACTTCTTCACATACTTCTTGTTGAAGCGATTCAGCCTTCCCAGGGTTGAGGGGAGAGGAGGAGCAGGGACACCTCAGACCTGCCCCTGCCCAGCACCCGCTCCCTGCTCCCCACCCCTGGCCCAGGCCAGCAGAACATGGGGCAATTCCCACCCGCACAGGTCAGGCCAGACCTTCCCCAATCCCCTCCCAGCCTCCAGAACACCCAGCAGCTGCTTGCAGCTCTCATGGATGGTCCTGAGCCCCAGCTGGGCTCCACCAGCAGCTCCCACGCTGCTGTGGGTGTGTTGTAGGTGGCACGGAGAAGGGATACCACCCAACCCAGGGCTGGAATTCCTCATGAGGAACGTGTGGAGCTGTTACAGCCCAAGGAAAAGCCTGGCACAAGGCTGGAAAAACCTGCCAGGTAGTGTTTCAAACCCTCCCCCAGGTCACCAAAGCTCCACACTCACTTGTCCTTCCAGTGGTGGTGCCCGTAGTGCCCACAGATATCCTCAATCCCCGTCAGAAGGTGATCCAAGAACTGGAAGACAAGGTCCAGGCCATAAGCAGCTCACAGGACCACTGCCCACCCCCCTCCCCACCCAGGCTGACACAGGGGTGAGGGCACTCAGGGGTTAGGGGGGGCAACACCAGGGCTGTGGGTCCAGGATGGGCCTCAGGAGGGCAGCAAGGTCCTACACAACCGGGGTTCTGCTGCAGGCACAGGGGAGGGCACTGGACACACAGAAGGGGGCGAGGCCTCGTCCTGCCCCCCCTTACCTTGGGCACGGATTTAGGGGCAGGTCCCGCTCTGTGAACCCTCCCGGGGACAGCAGTGGAGGTGGCAGAAGCAGAGAGAGCAGAGGGCTACAGCCAGGTGTGGTGGTTACCTGCGTGTGGATCTCTTCGTTGATGGAACGTTTTGTCTCCTGCTTCTTCTTCACGGCCAGCAGGTCCACCAAGGGCCGGATGGTCATGCCCTAGGGAATGGGGAGGGGGGCTCAGACCTCCCCTCAAGGCAGAGAGGGGTGCGTTTGGCACAGACAAAGCCCAGGGCTCTGCACTGCTGGTGTCACCTGGCAGCCTCTGGAGATGTTGGAGAAGGGGGACAGTGACAGGGCCAGGGATAGAAGATGGGGACATGCTCCTCACTCTCCACACACACATTCAGACTGGATCTTGGGAACTATTTCTTCCTGGAAAGGGCTGTCAGGCCCTGGCCCAGGCTGCCCAGGGCAGGGGGGGCAGTCCCCATCCCTGGAGGGGTTCCCAAGCCGTGTAGATGTGGTGCTGAGGGCCATGGGGCAGTGGTGGCCTGGGCAGGGCTGGGTGAACACTTGGACTGGATGATCTTTTGTTTTTCCAAGCAAAATGATTCCACGACTCGATGCATCTCACTAAATAACCCTGTGACCACCTGCGTCCCACCAACCTGCACAAAGACTGTGAAGAAGATGACGGTGATGATGGCTGTGAGGAACATGTCCCTCATCCCAAAGTGCCTGTAGTCCAGGAGGTAGCAGAGGGAGAAGGCGATGGCTCCTCGCAGGCCCCCGTAGGCGATGATGAACTGGTCCTTGGGTGTCAGCTTCACAATGCGGAACTTGTTGATGAACCAGGTGAGGACCAGGACTCCTGGGGGATCAGGGCAAAGGCCTCGTGTGAGTGGACAGTGAAGGATGCCCTCCAGCCCTGAAAGTCTTCCCCAGGAGCCCAGCTTGCAGTGTCAGCCCCTATGGGTGCAGGTGGGTGGTGTCCTGCTTGCTCACCCCATCATCATCAGCTCCCTCCCATCTTTAGCACAAACTTGGCCTCACCTCCCCACCAAGCCAACCACCAGCAAGCTTGATGCCCGTGGTGGAGCACCCAGTCAACTCCAGTCTCCCCAGCAAGGCAAACTTGAGAGTTGCCCAAGGACCATCCCCAAGGACTTGGCCACCACACTTGACACCTCACCCAAAACCCTGGCGATGAGGCAGAAGAGCAGGGTGCTGATGACAAAGGTGGCTGTCAGGCCCTGGCCCAGGCTGCCCAGGGCAGGGGGGGCAGTCCCCATCCCTGGAGGGGTTCCCAAGCCGTGTAGATGTGGTGCTGAGGGCCATGGGGCAGTGGTGGCCTGGGCAGGGCTGGGTGAACACTTGGACTGGATGATCTTTTGTTTTTCCAAGCAAAATGATTCCACGACTCGATGCATCTCACTAAATAACCCTGTGACCACCTGCGTCCCACCAACCTGCACAAAGACTGTGAAGAAGATGACGGTGATGATGGCTGTGAGGAACATGTCCCTCATCCCAAAGTGCCTGTAGTCCAGGAGGTAGCAGAGGGAGAAGGCGATGGCTCCTCGCAGGCCCCCGTAGGCGATGATGAACTGGTCCTTGGGTGTCAGCTTCACAATGCGGAACTTGTTGATGAACCAGGTGAGGACCAGGACTCCTGGGGGATCAGGGCAAAGGCCTCATGTGAGTGGACAGTGAAGGATGCCCTCCAGCCCTGAAAGTCTTCCCCAGGAGCCCAGCTTGCAGTGTCAGCCCCTATGGGTGCAGGTGGGTGGTGTCCTGCTTGCTCACCCCATCATCATCAGCTCCCTCCCATCTTTAGCACAAACTTGGCCTCACCTCCCCACCAAGCCAACCACCAGCAAGCTTGATGCCCGTGGTGGAGCACCCAGTCAACTCCAGTCTCCCCAGCAAGGCAAACTTGAGAGTTGCCCAAGGACCATCCCCAAGGACTTGGCCACCACACTTGACACCTCACCCAAAACCCTGGCGATGAGGCAGAAGAGCAGGGTGCTGATGACAAAGGTCCAGTTCCAGTAGTGGTGGCCAGCCACGGTGGAGACACCCAGGAAGATGAAGATGAGGGTCTCGCTCACACTGCTCCACATCTTCAGGAAATACTTGATGGTGGTGTGGGACTTGTGGGAGATGTTGGCTTCCACGTAGGGCCGCATGACCACGCCGGAGGCGATGAGCCTGCGGGCAAGGTCAGGGCACTCAGCAGCCCTGGGGACATGGGGACAGCCCCCAGCCCTGGTCCTGCAGCAGGTTTGTGCTCTGGTACCAAACCTCAGGCTTGTGAGACACCAATAATCATTCAAGGTCCCCAGAGAAGACAACAGGAGGTTTCTCCTTCCCCTTGGAGGGCAGGAGTGAGCACCAGGGCCAGGCAGCACCAGACCAGGTCACTCTGAGTGCTCAGCAGATCCTACAGACCAGGACAACAAGCTGCCAGTGCCCTGAGCTCTGTGGGACACCTCCAGGGAGTCACTCCCTTCACCTGCCTCCCTCCATCTCCCAGCCTAAACCCACCTCTGGCCCTCACTGGGCACGTACTGGCCGTGCTGGGACAGCCGGGGGGGCTGTGGTGGCCACCAGAGCAAATGCTCCAAGCGGTCTTGGGGACAAGGGGGGAGGGGATCTCCAAGGCCCCCGTGCCCCAACTCACGCCATGATGCCCGAGAGGTGGAAGAGCTCAGCAGACAGGTAGGCCATGTAGCTGTAGAGGAAGACGAAGAGGGGCTCGATGACGCGGATGTGGGAGGTGAAGCGGGAGGTGAAGGCCGTGATCACCCCGTAAATCACCCCCACGAAGACACCGCCCAGGGACACCACGAAGAAGCTGAAGAAGCCGAGGAGGATGTCGATGATGGTCACCTGCTCGAAGGTGGCAAACTCCTCGAAGAGGTGGTAGAGGACCTGGGAGGGAGGATGGGAGAGAGGGGGGTTCAAACTGCACTGCTGGCTGGAGGAGACCTGCCCAGGGACCAGCCCAGGGGGGCAGGAGAAAAAGGAGCCAGGGCTCACAGGCTGGACTTGAGGATCTTAAAGATCTTTTCCAGCCTTGGTGATTGTGTGAGAGGTGCCAAGACCCCCAGGGACCAGCTCCCTGTCCTCTGTGGCTCATGGTGCCACCGAGATGTGCCTGGGGCAGCTCTGCTCTCAGCCCCAACTACCATCCCAGGAGGTGCTTTGGGCAAGGTCTGAACCAGCCAGAGACTTCCTGGTTCCCAATGAGAAGGTCAGGACAGATCCAGGCTGGGGGATGTTGCATGGAGAGAAAAAGCCAAACATCTGCTCAGAGAACAGCCCAAACTTTTCATGCAGCTTTGGGCAACCTCACAGGAGGGGCCAACCCTGGGCTGTGTCACCTTCTCCCAGCTCCAGACACATTTACTGGAGAGACCTTCAAGCCATGTCAGGATGGGAAATGGGCTTCAGGGAACCCTGCAGGGATGGCAGCACCTGTGGGCAGTGAGGTGCCACCTCCAGCCTGCCAGGTCCTGGGACAGCAGGAGACAAAAGCATTCCCTAGGGATGGGAGTGAGGACACAGGCCCTGCAGGGAGCCCCTCTGGTTAAAGGGGGGAGAAGAGCCTGGGAAAAGTGCCGTGGTGGGACAGCATGTTCCTCAGCAAGCTCTGCAGCAGGCTGAGCTGCCAGCTCTGCAGAGGACAGCTGGGATGTGGGAGAAGAGCCAGGAAAAAGAGATGGGTTGGAAGAAATGGTAGAGGTCAGCTCTGCAGAGGAGAGGAGGCCGTGCTGACAGCCAGCACCTGGACACAGATGTCCTCTGGAAATGGCATGGTCCCAGAATGGGGTGGCCTGGCCCCTCCTAAAGGTCCCTTTTTGAAGCTGCTGCTCAAAGCTGAGAGCTGAGGGGTGGGCTGGGTGGGATT